AAGCTTCTTGCCATCACTGGGATGGCAGGCACACACCACCATGCCCGGCTATTGGTTGAGATGGGGTCTCCCAAGCTTTTTTGCCCAGGCTGGCCTGGAACCACCATCCTCCTGAACTCAGCCCCCCCAGGAAGTCAGGAGTACAGGCCTGAGCCAAAGGTGCCCAGGAGAAAGCTCTTTAAATGTAATGATTTATGAGTTTATCATTCTTCCATTGCTTTGATGCCCAGAGGATATTTCTGTTAAAAAAAAAAAAGAAAATTCCTCAGACTAATTAAACTTTGGAGTTTATCTGAGCAAAGACAAACAAAATGAAACATGATGTATGAATCAGGAGACTCCCACAATGACAGCAGGTGCCAAAAACTACAGCCAACTGGAGACAGTCGTCCATCAGACTCTGTGTAGAAAAACAGAAACTGGCTAAGCTGTCAGTCCACGAGTCAGTCAGTTACAGCTTAATTAGATAACTGGTGACAGGGCTCCTACAACTACCAAGACAGACAGACAGACTGTCTGTCTGTAGACAGGTAGATGGGTAGATAGACAGACAGACAGACAGACAGGTAAATAGATAGGTAGAGAGAAAATTGATGGACAGACAGATAATAAACAGATGAATAAGTAGGTGGATAGATAAATGAAGAGATACATTGACAGATGGATAGATAAAGAGAAACTCAAAACCCCAAATTACCAAGCCTAGAAGGAAGCCAAGGTCACAGTCACCCCAGTAAATCTGACTGGCTAGCCTGCCTCAAATAGCAATCTCCTTAACTATGGGTCCAGGCACAGTGGTGCACCCCTTTAATTCCACCTACTCCAGAGACAGAAGTAGGAGGATCTCGTTCTGCAGCCAGCCAAGGCAAAAGCAGGAGCCCCTGACTGAGAAAGGCAAACCGAAGCAAAAAGGGCTGAGAGTGAGGTTCAAACAGTAGAGCGCCTGCCTAGCAATCATTACGCCCTGAGTTCAAACCCCAGTACTGCCAAAAAAAAAAAAAAAATCCTACCAGTCTTGTGGCAGTCCATCTTGAGTCACCTGGGGACCGTGGAGACCCAGAGTGCCAGGATTTGTGACTCAGCGGGCCTGCGTGTGCCTGGGAGCCTGCCTTTCTAGCAAGTCCTGGCCATCCTATTCCCACTGGTCCAGGGACCCCACAGTGAACCCCGCTGTCAACTGGATCGCCTCCAGATCTGTATTTCACACTCGGTCAAGTCACTTCAGGGACTGGGGAGCTCGCTATCACCTTAGCAGGGTGGCGATGGGCGTTTAGGTTTCATTAGCCAAAGAACAGGAGAGTGGCACATGGACAAAAGATTGTGGGACAGCCATCCAGCTGGTGCCACGTGTGCGTGTCATGTGGAAGATCTGCTCCAGAGGAAGCTCCCTTAGGAAGGAGGAGAACATCTTGACGGGAGGCCAGGCAGGGAGTCAGGACCCAATGGCTGGTGCATGCCTGTAATCCCAGCACCTGGGAGGCTGAGAAAGGAGGACCGCAAGCTCCAGGCCAGCCTGGGCCGCACAGCGAGATCCTGTGTCCGAACAAAAGTTTCACGAGGCGTTGTTTGCTATGGGAAGTCTTTAATTGGATTTTAGAAACTCAGGGCTGAACACCCACGGAGGACCAGACACCATGGGCCTGACGCTCAGGTCATTTGGGGAAGGAAGCTGTATCTGTAGCTGGCTGCATTCTGACGTCACCAATACCAAATTCCTACAAAGAGCCATAATTTTGAAACTAATATTTTTGGAAAAAATAGTCATTTTTCCCAAATCCCCTTGGATTTTATTTTACCCTTGGCAATGTGGGTTAGAACTCAAATTCCTGACCCACAGCTGCTGTGTGAAACAGTCAATGTTAATTGTGGCTTTCTATCCCTAAAGTTTGGTATGATGCATTTGGCAGCTACAGAGCAGGTGCTGAAACTGCTTTTGCTGAAAACCACTGACTCCATGGATTAACTAAAAACGGGACAAGCTTGACATCCTGGCGCCATTTTGCATCTGTGTTTGCTCTGAGCCCTTCACCTTGCAGCCACCTTGGATTCCAGGAAGGACAGGACTGCTGGGTGACTTGTTTACATGGAGGGATGCAGGAAATTGGGCCCAGGGAAGGGAATGTCACAGACCACAGGACAGACCACCTGCCAGGACGTGATGACTTGTTTATCCTGACCACGTGGCTCCCCTCAAGTGATGACAGTGATGACAACTTCTCTAGATCCCTGCTCAAACCGGACTGAGATCCTCAACAGCCAGGCTGTCCCTGTGCCTGACACTTTGCATAGATGTCACCCCTCCCATAATTCTTTTTCTATTGAAACCCAAAGCTCACCTATCATCCCAAACATGGGTTGAAATGCTGTCTTGTCTTTTCCCATGGCTGCCGTACCTTCTAACAGCCTCCTGTCTCTGCCCCTCACCACCACCCGCCTCTCTCTCCGACGCACGGGCAAGTGGCCAGACCTGACATCAGGAGGTCATGAACACGTCCATGGAAACCTGACTGTCTCTTACCTGGGACCATCCCCTGTCCTGGGCCCAGTGAGGCACACCTGTAATCCTAGCTACTCAGGAGGCAGAGATCAGGAGGATCACGGTTCACAGCTAATAGTTTGCAAGACCTTATCTTGAAAATACCCAAGACAAAACAGGGCTGGTGGAGTGGCTCAAGTGGTACAGCGCCTGCCTAGCAAGCATGAGGCCCTGAGTTCAAATCCTAGTGCCACCCAGCAGCTTCCAATCCCAGGATCCCCTGACTGGGTAGTAGAGGCAGACAGCTGCCTTCTCTCTCCCTTTCTTACTCTATCTTCAACCACAGTGGTGACCAGATGTACACATGCAGGTGCAGGTACACACACACACACACACACACACACACACACGCAGAGCTTTCGCTTAATCCCGGAAAACCACTCCAGCATTGGGCGTGTGAACTTTTTTTTTGCAGCAAGGACTGGATGCTATGGACGCCATTCAGTGGTGGTTCTGGCTGTGAATTGCAGGCAGTGTGGGGGAAGAAGGGGAGACTGAGGACACAGTTCTGTCCTTGCTTGCTGAGTGACACACGTCCGGGTGCTCCAGCATTCACTTGAATACTTCAGGATAGACCCCCCCCCTTTCCTCTTTCTTTCCTGCATCCTGCCTTGTCATCCCGGGTGAGGAGGGAGGTCTTTGGTAAGATGGAAACAGAGGCTTTGTGAGTCTCAATTCCAGACGATGGAGAGTAAGAAAAACTTCATGGCTGTCCCGTGAAGGCCTCTGAGGAAGGTAGAGACTGCTACCCACACTCCATCCTCTCTGGTATCGGGTCAGGACAAGTGCTTGGAGCGTGGGGGGCCTTGGGGTCTTGGTCAAGGCTAAAGGTGACATTCCTAGGACCCGAGGGAGAGACCAGGGAGGACAGTAACCCAAAGATGCCCATCCAGAGTGGGCTCAAAGATGACTCAGTGGTGTGTCTCCATCCTCCTACCTCTGCTTTCTTTCTTCTTTCTGCCAGGTGACTCGTCTGTCTGCCTTTCCAACTATGGAGAGGTAACTGGAGGGCCCCGTCACCCGTGGTTAGTAGGGTCACTTCCCTGTCCTAACATCAGTTTGCAGAGACCATGCTCCCCAGCCAACCATCAGCACTGTGAACTGAAAGTCCTGCCTTCTCTCCCAGCGCAGGACGCCCTGCAGGGTGACAGTCAGCCTGTCCCCTGCTCATTCTCATTCACACAGCCTCCTTCCATGAGCTCGTCCCTGCCTGTGACCTCGCCTTGCAGCTCTGAGGAACCCTAAATGTGGGTGCCACCCCAGCCCCCGCTGTGCTTAGACACCCCTCTGTCGCTGGGTCCTACCCACCGCATGTCGGGCTTAGAACCCAATGGGACAGTTGTGTCTGACGCCCTGTGATCTGATTTCTGTCTAGAACGGCAAGTTGGCAAGTTTGAAAGTCGTCCCTTTTCTTTGCTGGGGTCCTAAGAGCACTCAGCTCACGGGTTCCCACGCCCTTCCCCGCAAACTCTCACTGGGCCGGGCTTGGAGGGCTCGCCTGCGTCCTTGGCACTTCATCCCACCTGTATTTCAGGGTTCAAAGCAGGTGTCCCCATTTGCTAGAGACTTAGCAGAGCCCTCAACACCTGGGTTTCTTCTTCTTCTTCTTCCTTGAATTTCTGTCCATTTTCTTGGGAAAAACGAGGTACCGGGAGCCTGGATGCGCAACGGGAAAGCGAGCGGCATCAACACTGGGCCCCGAGGACGCCACAGCTGTGGCTGCCGCACTCACTGATTAATTCTTTGTAACTGGGTCCCCAGCCAAATCCTTTAACAGCCCGGGCGGAGTCGTCACTGGCCGTGTAAAACCCACAATGACTGATCGGGGACAGGACATGTACCCAGACTGTACTCACCAGTCACTGACCATGTGAGGTGAATACCAGAACCAGACAGGAGACAACGCCAACCACCATCCTTACCGACGTATTTTTACTCAAGAAAATAACCACATCAAGAAATTCAAGGAACCATGTTGTTCGAGTGGTATCCCCTGCCTAACCAGTAATTCAATTGCACTTGACTTATTAGACTTGAATTAAAAAAGAAATAAAGATCAAGAAGCCCCTCCCCCAAGTTCTGTAACCATGTGTGAAATAATAGTCACCTTTCAAAATTAGAACATGGGTACAAAAATGACTCAGCAGCGCTGGGATAATTCGAATGCAGGCCCTGATAGAAAAAACGGCCCTTTGATGAGCGCGCTGGTGACAAAGTCTCAGATAAAACCTTTTTTTGGCGTTTTAAGGACTAGAGTGCTGTTGGAATCCAGACCCACGAGGCCACCACGCAGAGACTGGACCTTTTGTTCACAGGTCCCAGTGTGGACCACGACTTAGACCTCCAACTCAAAACGCATGTCACCCCAGCCCAGAAGAGGCTGCGTTCTGTGCAGAAGCTCTGGAATTCAAACTTCAGTGAGTGCAGACACAAGCACTGCGACACCACAAGGTGCAAGTGTTACCTGCCAGAATATGCTGTCTATCGCGTTGCCCAGAAACCCATCGCGACCTTCTGAAGACACCAGCTTGGGCCCAAGAATCGTCATGAACTCATCAAAGTCCACCTGGCCATCACCTGGATGAACAAAATAGAAAAATGAATGCAGAAGGGGCTGAACTTGACCTCCGATAGCCAACGCATTGAGCAGCTTGTGATTTTTCTCCTTGGTGTGGCCTCGATGAAAGGGAAAGAGTTGGTTTCATGGCTAGAAATTGTTCGGCATTTTCTCTTCCTTTTTTCCCTGGTGGTGGTGGTATTGAGTTTGAACTCAGAGCCTTGCACTTGGCAGGCAGGTGCTCTACCACTTGAGCCATGTCCCCAGCCCTTTTTGCTTTAGTTATTTTTTTAAATAGGGTCTTGCATTTTTGATCTGGCTGGCTTGGACTGTGATCCTCCCAATCTCCACTTCCTGAGTAGCTGGGATTATAGACATGCACCACCACTCCCAGCCTTGTTCCTAAAACACCAAAGGTACCTGGCACCTATTAGTATATCTGAGATGACATATTCCCAACCACGTGTCAGTAAAGGCACATGCCTCACAGCATCATTTTTGTCAACAACGGGTCACACACCCAACGGTGGTCTCATGAAATGAGAGGGGAGGTGAAAAAGTCCTATCGCCTAGTGACATGACAATGTCATCAAGCCTGCTGCCCTGCCTGCCCTGAAGAAACAGACCAACATAATTATGTACGGTGCACAACACTTGACAGTAACAAGCTTCTGCTGCCAGGCGTGGTGGTGCACACCTGTAATCACAGCACTCAGGAGGCTGAGGCAGGAGGACCTCAAAGCTCAAAGTCAGCTTCTGCTCCATAGCAAAACCCCTGTCCCCAAAATCCAATACAACAACAAAAAACCCCAAGGCACCAACAACTGCACTGGTTTATGTATTTACTATGCTATATTTATATATTTAGCTTTATTTTATTTTTGTCATTACTGGGGTTTGAACTTAGGGCTTTGAGCTTGCTAGGCAGGCACTCTTACCGCTTGAAACGAGCCTCCAGTGTCCTGTGTGCTCTGGTCATTTTGGAGATGGTCTTTTTTTTTTTTACCTGGGATGGTCTGGACTGAAATCCTCCTAGTTGTGCTTCCCCAAGTAGCTGGGATGACAGGTGTGCACCACCACGCCAAGCTTTTTTCCACCGAGATGGGGTCTCGTGGACTTCTCCCCCCACTCTGAGCTGGCCTCAAACTGTGATCCTCCCCATCTCAGCCTCCCAAATAGCTGGGATGACAGGCACCAGTGCCTGGCTCTTATCATTATCTTAGAGTGAACCTCTTATATATTTAAAGTTGACTACAATACTTGCACCACGTTAAGCAGTGGCATGTCCATGTGTTGCACGGTGACCATGTGTCTTGACACATCTTTGTTTCTGACACTTGATTTACTCTTGTGAGGTTTTGCTCACCAGGGCCCCAGGAGCAACAGATTCTCCATGCACACTAACCACTCCAGTGTGCAGCAGCTCTGCCTCTGGGTTTGACCGTGATGCTCTGGGGCGAAACTGCTTAGTGACGCGATCCTTGGAGTCCGTCCACATCGGGCAGTGCACAGCTGTAATTCTATCAAAACACTCAAGCAGCACTCCCACTTAACACGACCACACCCTACACCTGCTCACCCAGGACCTCAAATTACCCAGCTACAACGAGAGAGGTGGCAGCTGTGACCACCAAGTCACTATTCCAATGGCTAGTTCCCTCTGTGACAAACACAAGGGGATGCTTCCCAGAACCAATGCCAGCTGGGATGCTGGTGGAGCATAGCTCCCTGTGTGCCATCTTCCCCAAAGCAAGCCTGACCATGCCTGGTGACCCTCACTGGCAAAAAATGGGGACACATCTTGGCCTAGCATTCAAGTTTCCCTGTGTCTTTTGTGCCCTCTGTGCCCCACCTTTGCCTTTGTGGGGGGCCTTCCCTTGCTTGGTGAGCACCAGGTGTTTTTTGGGGCAGAGTTGAAACAGTACCTTCTGTTATTTTTTTCTGAGCCTTTGTCTCACTCGGCAGCATTAGTCAAACTTTCTTTAGGGCCCCCTGGTAAGTTTACTGTACTATATATTATGTCATTACATATGATATGATACGATATGATATATTGTCATCACTGTGATGTATTTAACTATGGAACTCACCACCTTGTACTCCAGCTGCTGATTTTCACATCTGTCTCCCATTGGGACTGTGGATTCCGCAAGCTTGGGAACCAGATCTGGAATGTCACTGTATATTTAGCATCCTGATAGACACTGGCTATGACATGTAGAATGAAAGAATAATGAATAACGTACTGGGATTTGAACTCAGGGCCTCACGCTTGCTAGGCAGGCGCTCTACCACTTGAGCCACTCCGCCAGCCCCTTTTGTGTTGGGTATTTTTAAGACAGGGTCTCACTTTATGGAGGCTGATCCTCCCTCTTGTGCTTCCCATGTAGCTGGTGACGGGTGTGAGCCACTGTGCCTAGCCACTGACTGGGACGGGGATCAGGAGTTTTTGGCCAGGGCTGGCTTCAAATGTCAATCACTCTGATCGCCACCTCTTAAGCAGCTAGGACCCGATGGTTTCTTTTTGCTGTTGTTCAATTTGACATCTGATTCTCCATGGTCAGCCGGAGCTGAGGAAGGGTGGACTTAGTGACCTTCGCAGGTGAACTTGAGCAGCATTTGCACTCTCCGAGAACTGCCCGGACGTCAGCCCAGGTGTCTGCATGTGAGTTTGCCAAAATGTGGCCACATACATCAACCGCCTCTCAGTGCGTCCCAGCCTGTGTCACCGAGATGCCAGTCACCCAGGACAGATAGTCTGGGAACAGATCCCAGTGTGCGCGGAACTTTGGAGGACATTAGGGAGGCGTGGAGAGTCTGTGGGGAAGGGAAGACCAGACCGTGAAGGACCAAGAGGAGTCGCTTTCTCTATCACCACTCAGCAAGATAAAGAATCCAGAAGTCCACCGACGTTGGTAAGTCTAGATGATCGATCTCGATCTCTCTCTCTCTCTCTCTCTCTCTCTCTCTCTCTCTCTTTCTCTCTCTCTCTCTCTCTCTCTCTGCACCCCTCAGCTCCCCACGCCAGCTCTAGAGCACTGCAGGGTTGGATGTCCCCGAAACGTCACAGAAGACAGAATGCCTTCTCATGTGACAGCAGCACCTGGGAGGGGGTGGAAAGGACTCGTAGGGCCAAATGTCCTCAGGAACTACAATGGCCTGGGGTCTTCCAGGACCGCGCTACGAAACACGCACACGCTATGTCCGGGCCACTGTCATTTCGCGTGGGTATGGCCACTAGGGAGCACGTGTTGTCAGACTCCTGTGGGATGGCGAGTAGAAGCAGAGGGAGAGGGAGGGAAAAGCAGCAGAGGAAGAGGGAGATGAGGATGGGGAGGGAGAAGAGAAAGAGGAGGAGAAGGAAGAGAAGGCGGAGAAAAGAGGAAGGAGAAGGGGGAAGAAGGAAGAGGAGGAGGAGGAGAAGGAAGAGGAGGAGGAGGAAAAATGGAAGAAGAGAAAGATGAAGATGGAGGAGGAGGAATAAAACAGAGGAGGAAGAAGGGAAGAAGAAGGGGAAGAGGAGGAAGGGGAGAAGGAGGAAAAGGGGGTAAGTGGAAGAGGAAGAGGAAGAAGGAGGGGGAGAAGAAGAGAAAGGGGAAGGAGAAGCCCTCTGTCCAACCCTGTCAGCTAGAGACTGAGTTAATAATTAGCCCTTCCCATGCGATGAAGCTTCCATAAAAGAAAAAAAAATCCTAACGTCCAGGGTTCAGAGAGCTTCTGGGCTGGGGACACCTGGAGGTGCCGGGAGCGGACATCCCTCATTCCCGTCCTTTACCATGGTATCCCTCCCACCCGTCATCTCTTTAACATAGACCAGTAATCACAGATGACCCCTGTCCTCGGCTCTCGAGCAGATGCCTGAACCTGGCGAGGGTGGCAGTGTGGACCCAGGTCTTTGCCTGCAGGAGCCAATGCTAACCCCAAGGGACAGTGACGGAACTGACTGCAGGACATCCCTTCAGTGTCTGCAGGGAATCGGGGAATTTTAGTGAGAAGGAAAAAGCCACCACTGTGACCAGAAGTACTGAGTGTCACTGATAAGAGTTCAGAGAAAAAATTTTTTAAAATTTCACAACTAGAATCTCAGGCGTAGGTTTTACAGCAAAGCCCTGCGATGGTTTCCATCTCAAGTGTCCACACAGGCTCACGTGTTAAGGCGAGGTCCCCAGCACGCTACAGAGAGGTGATTGGGTCCTGAAGGCTCTGACCTCATTGATTGGTTGATCCACTGATGACATCATAGTTGAGGGGAGGACCGGGAGGCGGGGCCTGGCCGGAGGAAGTACGTCACTGGGGGCGTGACTTGGAGGGGTATATCTTGTCCCGGCCCCTTGCGCCTTGGCGCTCTGCTTCTTGACTACCAGGAGGTGAGCGGCTTTGCTCCCCGTGCCCTTCCGCCATGCTACTCTGCCTCACCTTAGGCCCAAAGCAATGGAGCCAAAGGACCACAGGCTGAAAGCACGAGCCAGAGTAAATCCTGTATTCAAGTGGTTTTTCTCAGGTACCTATCACAGTGATGAAAAGTGACTAATACAGTCCCATAACCTAAGATCCATTCCCAGGCAGAGAGAGGTAAGGCCTGGTTAGCCTGACAGTGATGGTGACATCCAGCACTAGTCACTCACAAAGTGCTGGACATTGATTAAAGAAATGTCATATACAGTCATCTCTCAGTTTCTGCAGAGCGTTGGCTCCAGGACCCCTGAGACACTGAGATCCCCACCATCGTGTCCTTTTTGTAAACTGGAATATTCAAAGCCAGTCCGGGCTTAGCAAGACACTGTAATCCCAGCCACCACAAAGGCAGAGGCAGGAGGATCCTGAGTTTGAAGCCAGCATGGACAAGGTTAAGAAAACCCTGACTCAGAATCAAAATGAAGGCTGGATGTGGGGGCTCCTGCCTGTAGTCCTAGTTACTGGGAGGTGAAGATGGGCAGGATCCATGGTTTGAGGCCAGCCCAGGCAAGAAGTTCTCAGGACTCCCCATCTCAACCAAAATGGCTAGGTGTGCTGGCGTCAC